TTTTGCCCCCCCAAAATAAAAGGAAAATGGTTTAAAAAAAAAAAAAAAAAAAAAGAAGTTTTGTATAAAACCCTCAAAAATGGAGTGTGGGCTTTGGAAATAAGAAAGAGGATAACATTAATGAGACACGCTGGCACATCATATGTTGAAACAGACTGGATACTGATTTTGAGATGGTAACTGAAGTGCTGTTCATCGTAATGCAAAACACAGTGATGGAGACATTACATCAATGTGCTTCCTCATACCCTTGAAAGCACATACTTTTTGCTTTAATATTGCTGTTTGTTGCAGAAGTTTTAAAATCCAATAACTAGGAATTTTGAAAGATCATTGTCAACAATTCATTTACAAAGTATAGCCATTAAAATTCATTATTAGCGTTAAAAGGAAAAGAGAAGACAGTGAAGAATCATCAAATCTATTTTTATAACAAATTGTAAATTATATACTATTTTAATAATAGAATGTTAAGAACTTGGCTGATATGGTAATTGGGGAATCAAATATTCATATCCTACAATTTCTGGCAGTTACACACTTTACCAACCTTGAATGTTCTAATTAAAGTCTACTAAGTAACAGACTATCTGCACAGAGTTTTGCTTACTAATATAGAATTAAAACTAATATAGAATTAATTTAAAAATAAATTAAAACTTCTTAGGATGATGCAAACATCTTTAGAACTGTATTTAATTCATTTTCACTTTGGACAATAGCAACTAGTAACAGCCAGCATTTAGCTAGCACTTAAAAATATAGTACCACTTCCACATCTGAAAAAATGTAAGGTACTAATTTTCTCTTAGCATCTGATACATTAAAATATTGTATCAGTATCTGGATTAGGACATGGAGATACATGGTTAAAAACAAAATATCTGAAGAGGAACATACAGCCCAAAATCTACAAGTAAGAACATACAGCTATGATGTGATGTGATTTATCATTTGTCTTCTCAACACAATAATGTGATTGTTTCCATCTAAAAAGGTGAAACTTATAGGTGAAATCCTGCTTCACTAATCCACACCCAACTGTCATCAGCAACTTTACATAAATGTTGTAATAAAATAGGCATGAACGCTGCCAGTGCAAACAAAAAAAGTAAGGAACACTACCACATGATCATATGAACAAAGATGATCAAAATAAGCCTCCCTGAGAAGATGGACAACTATTAGGAATATTCTTGACTCCTCCTGTTTCCTTCCTGCTAATTTTTAAACTTCAGCCCAACCTTTTCTTTTAACACAAAAAGCCAAAATGAAGCAACAGTTCGTAAAAACAATGTTATTGTCTGAATATATCTATTTTACATTCAATTCTGCTAAAGAAAAGCAAACACTATCAAAAATATCACGTAAGGTGTTCTTGATAGATGTGTTGTTAGCTGTTATTTCTCATAAGGTAATATATATTTTATTTCATCCCGAGTAATGGTTTTGATCTTACTCCAGAGTGGTATTCTACATAGTAATAAACACTTACTGGCCCTCTCAAATCAATTAGTTCTTGTCTCATCTGGGACACAAGAGCTTCTTTAGCCATTAGAGCACGGTGCAGCCTCTCATTGAATTCAATCAGTTCCCCATGCATCTCAGCTACCTGAAAAACAAAGCCACAAGGTAATTGTGTTCTAAATTGAAACAAAAACCCACAGTATGTAATTTCTTACATGTATATCAACTTCTATTTATGTTTTTTGTTTTACCATACTCTCCAAGTACTGCATCTCATTGCTAATGCATTAGTTTGAAATGACCATTAAGAACAGACACTGTTATAATTTTGACTCATGCCTTGAAATGTAGGTTTTGACATTGAATTCAATAGGACAAAATACAACTCTTATGTCCAATTTTATTCCTGTTAGAGGAGATCCTATAACAACTGGTTCTAATAAAACACCTATTAACTTCTGTTCTGAGTTTAATTCTTTGATAAACACAGCACTCAACACTTAAAAACTAACAACAATAATTTGAACTGGGAATAACGCAAACTGCAGAAACTGCATAAAACTTTGTCAGTAGTTCATGAGTAATATATTCTGCACTCTTACTTGGAGTTTTAATAGGATTGGAGCTAGAAGTCCACTCATCCCAGGCAAATCTGTGAGGCATCAAAGGAGCATAAATACCACAGTCAGGCTGTGGCACAAGTTGTTGTCCATAGCGTGGCCTCAAGTGTGGCCTCTTTGGACACAAAATCTAGCTACATCTGTGCTCTCCATTTTTGAGTCAAGAGTGTCAAGAAAGCACCAACTGATGCAGGATGTTTATGAAAATGAACAAGGCTGGATGAATGACAAGAATGAAAAGTATACCAATTTACAGAGCAAATTATGTCTAAGGTGGTTCCCTGGCAAGAGAAGTAAAAACCAGTAAAACTCAAATCAAGGTTAAAGATGATATTGCGCTCTTGAATTTTTCTTACACAGAAGTGTAAGCCTATACCTTGAGGGGGAAGAAGTCCAAAAGGACAAGGGTTTCCAAATAGCAAAGGTCTAAATAGTAGCAGTAATGTGTTATCATCAAGAGAATGTGATGGGGAAACGAGCAGAAACAGGGAGCAAGGCTAAAAGAAACTTACCATTTGCACTGAGCAAGATTTTTAGCTACTCCTATCAGAAATATTATACTATAAAATTGAATGAAAGTTTCTATTATGATGGATGACCCATCAGTACATAATATACCTGGCAAGGGACTTCTCTTGAACTGATAATGCCACTTATAGCTTAGAGCAAAGAAATTTGAGCCAAAAAGGGTTTGTAAAATTCCTTTCAAGGGAGAAGAAAGACTCTTCAGAACACCCCACTTTCAGAAATTTCCAAGTAAATCCTTCCTATATGACTCCTGTATTAAAGAAAAGGAATACTGATGAGGGCCACTATCATCTGGTGGAGCATCAGATGAGCAGTCCCAGGGCAGAGCAAGAAAAACTACTATTTTAACAGGAGCAGTCAGATGAAAACCAAAGCAATAACATGCCCTGTAGCGGGCATAGCAGGCTATCACAACAATATTGTTAAATATGTTTTTCAGGTTACAGCAACTCTTTAAATGCATCCTCATACAGTCATCCAAAGCTAGGAGAACAGTAGAGGCAATGAAGTAACATTATGAAAGCACAGCTGAATAAGTTGAGTATCAATCCACTACCTTCAACAATAGCCCAGGGACTTGGACTACTGCCCAAACTCTTAAGAGTTCATGGTTTCCCTTCTGGAGGCAGTGCACTACTATCCATGAATTCCATGCTTTCCTTTTCTTGGATTACCGCTCAGCCTTCCCTCTCTTCACCAGGGAAGTTCCCCAAGATAATCAGTTTAATTCAATTTGTTTAATTTACTGCTTGCTTTTATTTCAGTGCTTTGTTCCAGACAACCTGTATCCTTCACATAATCAAAGCAAACAGAAAAAACAGCTTGAATTTGACAAGCCAGGAGCTGACATAATTGATTAAAAATAAAAAATTAAAATAATTACACCCAAGTTGAAGTTCAAGTATTCTTTTCTGATTTCTTTTGATATTAGAGGGAGTCCTTCAAACCCAGTAAATTATCAGTGTAGCATACACGCAAAAAGAACTAAGCACAGATATGATTTGTCTAGACTGATATCTTTCATTAATTCTGAATTTACAAACTATTCTGAAATGCTCAGCAAATTACAAGCTAAAAAATAGTAACAGTAATTGAACTAACAACAAACTTTCCTTGTAATGGGACTATCAGGAAGTACAAAAGCTAAAGATTTCACAAAGTGATTATTTATTTGCCTGATTATGTAAGTTTTAGATTAATATTGATGCTTTATCTAACACATCACAATACAAAACAATGCAACTTGTCTGAGTCACCATTCAGTTTCACTCCTCACTCTCTGAAGTACAAAGGTTTAACATAGTACTAATGTAGCTTCAACAATCAAAAGTCCTTGTTAAATTATTTTTATTTATAGTGTACTAAAGCTGCTTTAGTTTACTGCTTTTGGTTTTGATCTTGTCAAGCATTTCTGTTGTAGTTAATCCCATTAGACAAAACTAACTTCCCAGCCTCATAATTAGACTAGTTTCCGGCTCCTCCTGATAAAAATCAGAACATTAGGACTTGCATGTTATCAGTTAATGACACTATGTATTCATAGCTCAATTGTTCATTCAACATCAGCCTTGATAAAAAACGTTCTTTGACTTCAAACACTTGCTAGTAATTAAGTAAACTCATTTTGCGAAAACAAAAGATATCTAAATCCATATGGACTGCATTATGACTAAGGTAGTAGGTGCCACTCAGCAAGTAGTTTTGCTTCACAAATTACAAACATTCATGCACCAGATAAAATTGCCAACTGTACTAGACAAACTAATAATATAACTTCATTAACTCTGGATAAATTATTTTCCATCTAGCTTAACCACTCATTCCAATTCAAAGTGAGTGGTGTAATATTTAAAAATATCATGAGCCCCTCTGACTCGGGTTAATTCCAGCAGGTCATTGTTAACTACAGAGAGTCTGGGAGGCAAAACTTCCCTGTATTTCACACACAAAAAGACGCAATATGCTACTAGTTGCAAATGCACAGAGAAAAATCTGATCGTTGGTTGATCGGTCATTGAAAGCAATATACAAATTTATGAATCGATGCAAAACTCATTAGTTTACATATTTGAAATCATGTTTGATTTTTCAGTGCCTGTCTCCATCAGAAGAACAAAATCCAAATTATCAGACTGACTGATTTCTCTCCTCTAATTTGGATGTCCTTGAAATAACTTTCTACTTGCAGACTCAATTAATATGTAAATTCAACAGCTCTCTCAAAACCCTGGAAGTAATAAAAAAAATTATGTGTCCCTAGTAAAGTTAGATAACAAAAAGGAAATTTAACAGCAAATAAAACAGCATATCAATTGTTATATACAATCAGAAGAACAAATTGGCAGGTATGTTACTTGCTCTCAGTGCAAGCACGTGTATTTTTCCCATGAGAAGACGCTCTTTTTCAAAAATCAACATTCTTCTACATTTTTGCCCAAAAAACATAAAGCCAAAGATCTTAAAAAATAGCAGGTATCCTACTAAATATTAGTAATTTTATTTTTTCTACAAGTGAAAAAGAGTAAAACTCAAAATGGCAGATAATTCAGGCAAATCTATGTATACAGCCATAAAATGCTGAGACATTGCTTTCTTCTTCTTTTTTGTATTCTTAACATTTCCACCTGAAAGCAAGTTATTTGGTTCAAGGCAGACTGAAAGATCCATTTAAGAATAGGGTTGGGTTTTGGTTGTTTTGTTTTGGGGTTGTTCTTTCATCTTGTTTTGTAATGTGGGGTTTTGTTTGCTTGGGTTTTTGTTTGTTTGGTTCTTTAACTATAGCTACATAACAGAAGCACAAGTCATAATTCATCATAACCAACAAGAAGAAAATGAGCTGTAGCTTTCAACTCAAAATACAGTGGGTGATTCATGGGCGCATCACTCTTGCCTTGGAAAAGAGAACTGTTCAGCTTCTTACCCAGCCAGGACTAGTCTGTCAATGAGAGAGACTCTGCAAACATCATTCAGAGAACTATATATTCTATTTCAAGAGTTGCACAAAAAAGTAGTTCTTGCCAGTTCACTTGTAGTACTATTGCACTTAGTAACTTACACTGTGCACTGCGCACCCTTGAAGTAAACAGCTTATCTGAACTCTTTTTTTTTTTTTTTTTTTAATTTGGAAATAAATTCTTACTGGGAAAATGAATATACACATATATAAAAGCATACTCCCCAATTGTTATGAAATAATGCAAATTCTTACAAGAACTGCAAAAAAAATATCTACTTTTGTGTCAAAGTGCACTGGCCAGATGAAATTACACCTTCCTGTATTTCAGAAATTGTTTAACTGACAGAAGTGGAAGAAGGGCTTGGAACTCCACAGAAAACTGCTGACAATTTACTTATTTAAGATGTTTTCTATACTGCCTTCAAACACAACTAACATTTAATAGCAAGGCTGTACTTCATGCTAAGACCTTTAAATAAGATGATAAAATCACCATATCCAAAAGCATCACTGTCCACTGATCTCATTTGCCTGCTGAATGAAATCTCATGCTGAATGCAAGTACACTAATAAAGTAGCTGTCAGTAAATAATATGGCTGATCGAAGAGATACAAACAGAACAAGATCAAACTTGCACTGTTTATTCAATGCTAACAAGTGCCAAAGACTTTGTTTGTTTGACAAAAGGCTATTTTTCAACTCTCTCCTATGAGAAAATGTTACATCTAAACAAGAGTGCTATTATTTAATAATTGTATTTGTAGGCATTTCAATATATAGGAGGGGAAAAAAAAAAAATCCGTGTCTCTACAGAATCCTGTCAAAGAACACAGAACTTATTTTCATTGATTTCCAATAAATTGGGTCATGTAGTTGAATGAAATGGTGCTCCGGTAAGTTTTTTAACTAAGTTATTATATATTTCAGAGTTTATTTCTTAAAGAAACTTTCTTAAACTTTCCTTTTATTTTTGTCATTAACAGGTAAGAGTACATACTGTTAACACAGTGAAAGGTTCTAGGTTTACCAATAGTTTGTAGAACCACTTGGGGAACAAAAGTAGTAAAAGAACAATAATAACATGCAGTCAAATAATCCTTCATAGTCAGAGGTGGGGGTGTTTTTTAAGCAGGTAACAAAGTTGCTCTGTGGCTGTCACAGCTTTTCCACAGAACTGTCTCATGTTAAAGAATAAGTACCACTTTATGCAGACATTACCAAAATCGCTATAATACCATCAAAATTCCCCACTTCAGGATCTTAAGTTAGGACACAGTAAAGAAATTCATTACAGTGTATTGCCTGTAATGCTAAACCAAGAGACAATTCTACAAAGATGCTGAGACCGTGGCAAAGCTTTTAGTGATTTAAGGTACCTTCCCTGACCAGAGCTTGCTATGTGAGATGGAGTTTTGTAACAAAAAACCCAGAACTCATGTACTGCATCATGAACAAAGCCATATTCTCACATTTGAAAATCCTCTAATATTTAGAAACTTTAATTACCTGATAACATACTACTGAAAAATTTTTAGTAAAAAATAAATCTGAGCAAAATTATTACAATACAATAATACTTGTATCTCCATGTTTTTTAAGACTGAAAGGCTATCTTTTGAACTTCCATTTACTAACAATGACAGCAACACAAAAAACCTTAAATAAAGTCACATAGCTGCTTTTCATGACACTACACTATTTCCTTACTCCATTACAAAAAAAAGAAAAAAAAATATCAAAAGGTCAAACACTTAAGAGTGTTTTAAAAAGCCACCTACCCAACTACAGTGATACATGCCACAACCTGTTCTTTTTATGTAATTGCTGGCTCAAAAATAACCTCAATACAGCTTAAAGTCATTTGAGCACTCTAAAATGAAATTGAGGAGATTCAAGTTAAAAATCTAGAAGACAGTTTAAGTAAAAATAATCGGTAGCATGTTTTTGAGGCCTCAAGATGCAAAGGAATGACAAATTACTTAATCAACAAGGAAGAACAGAAGGCATGAAAATACACAAAGTGAAACTCTCCAGAACGGTGAAAGCTTGGCTTAATAGCGAAAATTACCTTTTGTAGATATAGTTTAAAATGTTTGAAACAATTCAGCTTTTCAGAAGAGCTGTCTAATTTGTCAGGAATTTAAAAAACATTAAACATAACCTTTTTGACACATGTCAGATCTCATGAATATCTAATAATCAAAAATAAACTGTCACCTCTAATCTACTGAGTGTACTTATTTGAACAGAGTGATTCACATCCTGAGTTCACGTGATCAGCACATGCACCTTCCCTGACAGAAAAGCAGCTCCCCAGCCACACATACCAAATGCTCAGAGATCAATTTGTCAGGCACAAAAATAAAACAGATCACCTACCACATAAAAGGTTGAAGAGTATTTTCAATTTCATTAAAAGGCAAACAGGAGGTTTCTATGGAATTTTACTTTAAAAACTGAGCAATTCCTAGTTAATTTATGTAGAAAAATTCCAATCCCTAGAAATGTTTCGTGTACAGGCTTCTACAAGGAAAGCCTTAGAGAGTTGGAAAGAACTTTAATTTTTTTTTTTAACTGTTAGGTTTGTCTCCAACATTCATGTAAGAATGAGTGTTTCTGCAGAACACTAAGGGATTAATATATTGTGATACGAGTTTCAGTACATCAAAAGCCTGTTATTCCAGCAAAGGAGTTGGTCTCCTCATTCCCTAGTCTACCAGGAATAGTCTATGCCAGGAAACTGAAAATTCAATGTCACTTACTGACTCTTTAACAGACCTCTCTCAAAATGCAATTTAGTACATCATGAACATAACCTACAATTTAACTTCAATTAAATGTAGGTTGAAGTCCACCACTAAACTATTCTTAAATAGGCTGAAACTGCAAAGAAAGCTGAAGTCAGGTTCTCTCTAATAACGTATCTTACGATGATTTTAAACACACACTATTATTCATGGCTTGAGAGTTGTATAAATCAACCTACTTTCTTCTAAAAAAAAAAATAGTGTTCTAGTCCCAAAGCATATGACATTGGAAAACACATGGGAATTATTAGAAGTATCCAAAGGCCTATCAATATCCCAACAAGGTTCAATCTGGGGGTTTAGAAGAAATTGTGGTAATGAGAGTGATTACTATTTCTAATGAAATACACCATTAAAAAAAAATAAGCAGAATTTTTACAAAAACTTCTCTAACACTGCTTTAAGCACAACATTTAGTAAAAAGTTTCTTTAAGTTTCTTTACTCCTTCAAAATTTTTACTTGCAACTTTTCTTTATCCACTTGCTTAAATCAACTGATTTATAAATCATAATCAAAGAATTTGGATAAATACAAACTTTTTTACAAATATGGTGAGAAACTGAAAATTTCTTCATGTACTAAATCATTTCCAATGGGGGAAAAAAAAAAGATAAAAAAATCTCTAACTACTCAGCAGAACCATTCTTTCTATTCTCTTGACAGCTAGTCATTTCTCTGTGGGGAGACTTCGATATCCTCATCAGCTACCAAGCAATTCAAGGGAATCTCTGCCTTCAATTGAATTAGTCTATGAGGCACAAAATAACAGATACTAAAACTTCTTAAGTCTGAACATTTTTCAGACCCAACTCCAGCTGAATGTAACTACCAGAACAGCATTCAAGAGTCGTTTCTATCCTAGTCCTCAATTTGGAACACACCACAGGCTAACCTTTGAAAGTAAGACTTCACATCTTTCATTTGTGGAGAGAAAAAGGAGCAATGACTTTTGGTAAATACATGTGTATTGTTACAGGCATTACATCCTATTTTGAGTATCTGAAGATATTGTTACGGACTGAGACTCAGATGCAGATTTCCTCTTCTGGATGTAATTTGCAACAAGGTTTTCCAGTGGTTACATCACTGCTGTGTCATCACTGCTACTGCTAACAAAGCCTTCCACAAACTCAGAAGGGTGAGCAACAAGTTCTTGAATATGCAGGACAAACTCAGTAGAACTAAGGAGAATGCTTTTAAAGCTGAAAGAGGTTTTACCTGTGTTCTTAATTAGGATATTCTTTTGATAGGTACAGACAAAGAAAAGGAGTCAGAAAAACCCAACCAAACGTATGGATTAGGAAGAGAATTAGTTTCACATAGTCCTATGAGAAAAGGACAACCAAGTAGGAATGTTTTAGAAGAACTGTATTAATCTCTTTGATGCATGGCCTGCATTTTTAGTCATCTTCATGTTAATATGAATCAGTTAATATGAATATCCAATTTGAGAGTATTTTGGGCAAGAGAAAGAGAATTGTTTTAGTTTTTATGAAAATGTTCATTTAATATTTAATAGGAGATATGGGTACTAGATATTAAATTTCATTACTTTTTTCTGGAAAATCATTTGTATTTAAATTTAGGATGAAATCCTAATCTTTCTCTTTTTTTTCTTTAATGAATTTTACATTAGTCTTAAAACTGAATCTTGCATTAGTAACTTTTCTAACATGGTCATATCAACAGAACTAGTAGCTTCTATCATCTGTTTCCATACTGCAGTAATTCAATAAGCTATACAAAAATGAAACACAGTTTGGCAATCAGAAAACAGTATGAAAGCACAGAAAAAGCCCCATATTTCAATATGTTCGCATTTTAAAGCTCAACTGACAAACAGCAGTGTCTACAATTATGTACTGTAACTGATAAAATACCTGAAACCTATTGAGTGTGATGCTTTCAACTTCACCACCACCAGTTATGACCTTAAGGAACTTTTTTGTTTATTAAAACCTTCATTTTAATATCAAAGTATATCAAAGTACCCTGGTTAGGAAAAGTATTTTTAATTATCTGAATTGCTTTAAATATGCTTTGAAGTTGAATGAACAACTTTGTATTTTAACAAGACTGAAAATGAAATATTTCCATTTTTTCTTTTTAAAGGAAAAATCAGAGCTTTCTTTCACAATAATAGGGAAAAAAAATAACAACTAAGCAATGAAATTATTTACAGCTTCAAATGTTACGTTACAATTCTGATTCCATAAAATTTATGCAGTACAAAATTTACCTCAATCAATTTTCTTTCGTAAGAGCTGGCTAGTTCCTCATTGTTTTCTACTTGCTTTTGCTCTGGAATAGTAAATTCACCATCAGTGTTCCAAATGTTCGGCAGAACTAAAACAAATAGATACCTCAAATTAAAATGATAAATTACACAAACATCTAAGACAACATGTTGAGAAGTAATAGGTTTAAAAGAAACAGTTATTAGAAGTATTAAAATAGGATGTAGTACTAAACAGTATTAGAAGTAGTAAAATACAAATGCTGCAGGGAGCTTTCTTGTGAGCAATATTTAGACAGGCACTCTCAATGGCAAAAAATATAAACTAAAAGCATTTGGCTGTTCTTTGACTACAGCTACCTAATACATGGAGGCAGTAACTACAGTTCCTACCCAAAGCCTTTGTAAACTAAGCCTATGCTTCTAAGTCTTTTTTCTATTTCTCTTCCAAAATATAAGTTCATATTACTTGCACAAGCTACTTACCTATCATGGAAATTACAGGAAATAGGGCTGAGAATGGATATTCCATATTTCATGTAGTATTTCATGTTTTAGCTTAAAGCAGAATCAGCTGTAGTTATTTCATTCCTGACAGTTAATTGGCTAATTTATTCCTAGGAACCTCCAATAATGGAAATGTCATGCTTCCTTTCACAATATTTAAATATAAGTATTCTTCTCAGAAAGGTTTTGTTGATAGCTAAATCAAACTTCCTTCACCTGCCATTTAAGCCCATTACTTTTGTTACCCACAGTGAGTGAAAACTAGTTTATTCTGCTCCTGTTCCTAGCTATCGTTTATGTATTTGATCATCATTTTAAGGCCTATTCTAACTAAGTTTCCTCTTCCCCAAGTTACACAAAGTCCAACTTTTCCTCACAGATTGTGAACTTCTAAAAAAAACCCAAGAAGTTAGCACAGATAAAGTAAACAAGCCATAATAAAAGAGAGGTTTAACAAATGCTTTCACCATTTTTCAAAATTTAAACTCTGTATACAACCACTATAAGGTAGACAGAAGACACAGTACTCAGCTGACTGAATATTCTTGAGTCTGGGAACTGATTTTAGCTTTGAGAAAGAACATATACATTCAGAAGTTTATTATTATTTGTAGTGAATTTTGAAAGTTATTTTAAGAGCTATTTCTTGTAAATCTTGCTTGAAGTTCTTCAGCCAGAAACTTCTAAGATCAGCATTTTCGTATACATAATATTATTGTATCTAAGCAGGTTTGAAAAATGGCGCACAGGCAAGTCCTGCTGGTGGCCGAGAAATCAAGGATGCTCATTCATTAAATATTTAAATACCAGTATCAAACTGCCCAGTCTATGGCAGTGATAACTCCTTTTGAAAGCTGGTATGATATTCCAAACTTGACACAGTCCTGACTCTTGGGCAATTTATTTATAATCACATTTGCTGAGTGTTTTTTTAAGTCACAGCAAAATATTATGCTGAGTTTCATTTATTATTTTAGGAAACTATTTAAAATGCATACTCAATGGCATCTGATCCGATTATTGTAGCAAACATTGATTCTCCTCTATTTATACTCATAAAAATAACAGCAGAAGCTCAATTTATTTTGACTCTTTCAAAAAAGTTTCACTGCAAGTCCAAACACAGTGTTCTAACATCTACAATACATTTATGACTTTTGTTTTGAAACCATTTGGAAGATTAATCATCATTGAAATTGCTCATTATGATAACGTAGGGCAGCAGAGAAATTAGTTGTATGAAACAGTTTATGCCTCCCTGATGAACACAATTTCCTAACACTACAGCAGAAGAGGGCCGCTGGGTGTTTTCCAAGTTTAAGCAGATCAGAACTCTATGGCCCTGTTCCCATGTAAGGCTAGTTAGAAGTGAAGAATCTTGACTGTGTAAATTAATATATAAGAAAGTAATAAGAATTTTAGCTTAAAATGACAAAAATAGAGAAAATAGTAGTTTCTTCAGCCTGTTTTCTTCACAAAATGGTCACAATCTCAGAACACAGGTAAGAAAACAGGTCTTGTAAATATACTCTGTGATCCTTTTAAGCATGTGAGCTAATTAAGAACAAAATTACTTAAGACTAAGTTATGCCACAATTGGAATTCAATAATTTGCCTTTAGTTACACAATGATATATGTACTGAAAAGTACAAATAGCTCTAATAATGCAAATATTCTTGATTGTGAAGGCTCACATCCAAAAAATATGAATGCCTACGACAAGATACTGCAAGTTACGTCTATAAACAATGGGTGCAATAGTTTCTCTAAATCTGGAAAAGAAAAAAAATTTTTTTGTTTCATTCTCCTTTTTTGAAGATCTAAACATCTTCATTCTGACAGATTATTTACATGCTAAAGTACTTTTTTGAGTAAGAGGCCACACTAATACTAAAAATTTCACATAAATCTCCAATGGCAGGTATGAAAAAAGAATTTGGTTTTATAAAAATACAATGTCTGAAGTTAGAATATAAGAAAACTTATTATAAATAGCGCATGTAGGTGAAATTTCTTCTGGTCAATAATGACCAACATTACTGTGGACTGATCAGATACCCTTTGAGCATAAAGCATACATGAATTCATTTTTAGAAATGTTGTTACCGTTGCATCCCCCTTTTTCATCTATAAAATCTGACCATCCTACTCAGTTTCTATTCTTATCACTCACTAATTTGCATAATTTTAACATGGCAGAATATAGCTAGCCTAGGAATATTTTTTTCTTTTCCTATAATTACACTCATCATGGAAACTGTCAGTATCTAATGAAGGATAATTTCTGCTATTATAAGAAGCTTAAGCGACAGTTTTCGTGAATAATTCTTAATATGAATCACTACACTCCAGCAAAGTCGGAAGTAAAAACATGTGTTCTCACTAACAAAAATCCTTTTAAGGATGAATGAAGCTTTTAAACTACAGATAAGTAGAGTGACTAGCCCTTAAGAGCAGAATTTATATAGTATTCATTCATACAGCCACTTACATGACCACAATATTGATAATTTAAAAAAAAAAATGACATAAGGTGCCAACTTCTGAAAAGCCACGCCGTCTCTCAAAACACCTTCTGCAGTCAGTGGAAACACAGGTCCCACCAGAAGATGATTCAGAATCAAGACTCCAATTCATCAGGTGTCATGGGACACTTTTATCACCATTAGAGTCAGAGCAACTTAACAAAGTGAAAGGTCTGGTCTTAATGCAGAGTCTATTTTAAACAGTCCGCAAATACTGATCTCCAAAACAACGTAACAGTACAATCTATAGATACTAAGTTTTCTTTCCTCAAAATAATTGTTCTTATGTTCCAATACCACTTAGTTCATAGATTATTTTTAAATTAAATTTTAATGTCATAGCTTTTTCTGGGAAGTTTCTTTCTGAAAAAAGGTAAGACCATCAAATCTACCAGAAAACGGTCTTTAAAAATAAGTACAGAAATCTAAATTGGCATTTTTCTTAAAAGAAAAAAGATACCAAATATGATATTTTCACTATTGGGAGACAGTGCTCTACCACGGTTGGAAGAGATTAATAAGGCTTATAATTATCTCATGCTAACCCCACGTTCATATAAATTATTTCATATATTTTGACGAAGACTCAGCAAGGAAAGCAAAGACTTCTTGATCATTTCTGCTCAGCACTAATTTGATACTATGCTGTCACATAATATTCTTTTTGTTTGATATCAATCTGCATCACAGAACTGTTCACACAACAGCAAAGAGCCCAGTCAGAGATGCATCAGGGACAGTTCTCACAGAAGCAGAACTGTCATCTATTTAGATGCTGATATTTTCCAATAGGGGAGGTCTGATGTCATACTGGGTAGCATGTGGAAGTGCAAAACATGTCCCCAGCCACACTAGAATTGTTTTGTGTGGCTTAAGTGTTGGTTCTGGACCAGGGCTTGCAGAGGATTGGGAGGTTGGTTATCTCCAGAGATCCATTCCACGATCAGAAAAAAAAAAACACAGATTCTTGTAAACCAGACACATGGCTGTCTCACTGGTTATTCTTTCATTGTCAGTTTTTATACACCTCCAAGGGTCACATTCACCATTTGCTTACTGTACCTACGCCTCCAATAGTTGCAATGGTACCATACAGAAAAACAAACCCTGTGCATGGATTATTTTTATTCCCTTCATTTTATCCTTACCTTCCACTGTTTGACCTTCTCTTCTGAGCATCTGGACAGCACCTACATATTTCTTAAGTTGCACTTTTAGTACCTCATTTTCTCTGTTGACAAAAAAAACAGAATAAATAAATATTATTATTTTCTCAAAATAGAGAAAAGTGCCTTTCAATGGAAACAAACATACTATCTGTAATAATAAGTTTCAGTTAAGTTGTGTCATCAGGATGAAAAAAAATACTTACACATTAAAAAACACACCAACAGCACAGTACCAGGAAAACTCCAGGGCCAGGGGAGGTCGGACTAGATGACCTTTGGAGGTCCATTCTGGCCTGGACAATTCTATGATTCTATGGTCCTTATCATACTATACATATATTATATATACACACACAAAAATAATTGCTGTTGTGAGCAATGCCATATTTATATATAAAAACCTTAGACTGGTACTATATTAAAATTTCTATGGGTTTCAAATCAGTTTTCTGAACTATGTAACCTCAATTTTGTTCAGTTGGTTAGGAGGACTTTGCTAAATAATTTAAAATAAACTACTGACTACCCAATTATCAAATTTCAATGAAGTCCTTCATGATTTTATGCATTTTATAACTTTTTGATTTCCTAGACTACAAAGAACAAATCAGTTTTTCCACCAGAGATGGACACTGATATTCAGATTAAGAAAAAAAAAAGTCAGAAACACAGTTTAATTCTATCTACTATATTGAAACAAATCTAAATAATTCTTTCATGAAAAAAACATTCATATGACAGCTAGACAAAAAGCTTTCTCACCAGAAGTGTAAATATGTCTGCATGGAAATAACTGTATACAATTACAATATATTGAGTTTTAAAGATTCTCATGAAATAATCACACATCATCTCGTTTCTGCATTTGAGAATAGACTCAGTGCCTTCTGTCTGTACTGAGGTAGCATTAAAAAAAAATAAATCAATTTTTTACTGTTGAGCCTATTGATATAGTACAGATGAACTTCAGAAAGACTTTAATTCACTTAAGGTTTGTGATACAAGACTGAAATTCAAAGCAGGATACTATGGCCCAGTCACAATTTTCTAATATGCTTCTTTATCAATTCATTCCTTCTCATTCTTTGACATTTTTCTCATTACTACTATTTAGTTAGATTCCAAAGACGGCCCATCCTGATATATATGAATTTATATAGCTCTTCTTATCAGAGCATGTTTAAAAAGAAATAAATAGCAAGCACTCACTAAAACGTCTTTAATGATTGCAAGAGGCATTATATCAGATATCCATAGCAAGTATTTTATCAAGGGGAAACTCCTGTATAGGAGTTAAGGTGATATTTGCAGAAATTCTTGTCCAGCTGTCCCAACAGTACTACCTATTGTTGAGGATGTTAAATACTTCTATCTAAAGGCCCCAGCTTTACTTCTGCAATTTTCTGATGCTTTCAGAATCTTTTGAAGTGCTGCAAACAATTCCAGTCTGTGCTGAAGAATAAAGGACAAGACTAAGTACAAGCTGAAGGGGATAGGGAAAAAAAAAAAAAAATCAGGTTGAAATACATGGGAAAACAAAGACAAAAAACTATGTCACTAAAAGCACACCCATCTCCAAAACCTCAATTATAACAAATTTAACTGCCTGATCACTTCTCCAACATTAAACAGTAGCTGAAAGACACAGTGATCATATGTCATTTTACCCTGTATCAGCTCAATGATAGAGGATGACAATCTAGCATTCCTACAAATTAATCTTTTTGCTCAAATGGCACAGGTCTAGCGTGTGTTGTTAATTAAGCTTTATGCTATTGGTGATTACTCATGCAGAATGATGACACAAGACATACTTCTCTTTGGTTGTTTGATTATAAAGCCATAAAACTGCACATTAACAGCTACATTAAGAAAAAATACTACGGTTTAAAATCCTATCACAAAAAAAAAAATATTTAAAGCATCCTACAAAACCAGAATTTAACTCTTCCCCAGGTCTCTATGATTTATTATTATTTGGGTACACACGAGAAGCAGATTAACAGAACATCTTTGAAGCTTTATGTCTTCAAGACAAATCAAAACCAATATGCATTTCCCCACCTTTTTTTTCCTTAAGACCAATATAAAGGTAGTTTCTGACAAGAGCAGATTTATCTCCAAAATCTCTCCAGAAGTCTGACCAGAGAAATACAAACCCATCTAAATACAGCAACTTATAAATGCCACACATCTATAGCAGCAGGCTAAATTTCATTCCATCTGAAGCTTTTTCAAGCAACTATAGGAGTTCCTCCATAGTTCTGTGACCATTCTCCAAAAAGAATGCACCCACTTTCAGCCCTTAACAGTGTCTTTGCTTAAAACCAAAGGAAAAATACAAAACTAATCATGGTAATGAATCAGTACATGATAACAACTGTAAGCAAAGAGAAGAGGAATGCAAGTATCAAAACCTTAAATGGTAATACATGTGTAACTTTTATCCATTTTCTAAAATTGAAGATATCACCTCATAAAATCCCTAAAATTTTAAGTATTTCTATTGTCAAACATTCTTGAAAATTCACTGGAAACCACTGTATGTATTCACAAATTATATGAGAAATCTTAAGGATTCTAATAAATTCCTGTACTGAAACCAGAGCCAGAAAAAGGAAAAACATTCAGTAAATTTCCTTCCAGAGTACCCATATGGTCAGGGCTTGTTTAGATAGCATTACTAGTGTAAGGTGTCATTTTTGCCAAAGCTATGAAATAAAAGATTAACAGTACAGGATTTTCTTTTCAATTGCCATATTTAGCAACATTGATCATGCTAATACAAAAACAAAATACTGTTTTACTGAATATAAATTTTCTTTAAATATTCATCAGTGGTACACAGCCACAGAACACCTTAGTAACAACAAACTTGCTTATTTATTGACTTTTTATGGAAAACTATCTGGAATGACAAGGAATGATCAATTCCATAATAAATGTAAGTTGTCCAATACCTTCAATTCCCTGCCTAGTTTTGAAGCAAATGTAATTAACGCTTCCTCTCAATTTTATTATTTAAAAATTAGCACTTAAGGAAACCCTGCCTAAATGAAAATCAAAGCTACTCTAAGAATAACAATTTTTTTAGTACCATAAAACAAGTTCATGTTTTGAGAAACATATACCTGACTTTTACGCATACAATGAATGACAAGATAGCATGCAATATTATGATACATGCATCTCTACCAACAAGTTAATTCATGCCAGGAAAAGTAGCAACTGTTCCCTGAGGACTCCAATATTGAGAGGATGAATGCAACAGGATAACAAGCAGCACGTTCTCACATCAAAGGGAGGACAGTGGAAGAGAGATGCTATTCATATGGAACACAGCAGTGGATCAGCCCCCTGCCGGGACTTCTGCTGTATTCTTGGAGAACAACCAAGGCCCTGCAGGTGAAATCTTCCCCACCTTCCTCGTACTATAGCATACCTCCCAAAAACTATCATTATAGGGGCATAAAGGGAGTTGAAGGAGGTTGGTTATTTTCCAGTAATGTCCACAAAGTTTCTGTGAGAAATACTTATGTTTTCTGAAGCATGTACACGTACACCAAGTACAGTTGAAGTCTACTATGCAAGTCAAATTAGATGCATCTAATGTATGTCAAAATAAGATTGCTGGCTGTTAATACAAATGAATGCCAGTAAGAAAGCATTTTATAAGAGCTGACTTCCAAAAATTTCATTAGAAGGTTAAAGAACAATATACCTTTAAGTTATGATTTTTGTTGCAGAGGAAGAGACCTTATAGGACTTGTTTTCCTATAGTTTAACAGAAAAAAAAACCAAAAAATAAACAACAAAGAAAAAATCCCACACAACTGATTCTTGAAAAAGATACAAAATTTCCTCTAGGGTTTCCATAAAATGACCATGGTAAGACAACTATTTGAAGAAGAGTAGTTTCTCATGTATCTCAACTATAGTGGCCTGAAGAATACTGTAATTAAGTTTCTGGTACAAACATCAGATCCTAACTAGTACTTTCTGTGGACCTTACTCCTAAAACATGTCTGATTTTTAAATTCAGGCTTGGGAAAAATAAAAAACCAACAGATATCTGTCTTGATAAAAACCTAAGTGTTTTAGAAAACACTATAAAGATACCATCTCCAAGTAACTTAAAAAATGGCATTAATCTTGATAATGAATTAAAATAAACAGTGTAGTGCATAGTATATGTAAAATCTATATACAGAGTTTGGGTTAGATTATTTCCAGAGATGCCTTCCAACCTGAATTATCCTATGATCCTACTAATAGGATGTGCAAGATCACAATTAATTATAATAATATATACCCTAGTGAAATAAGAAAAATGAGAACTATTACTTACAGAAGTGGAAGTTAAACTATATACAATATAATGAGATTATAGTATAAAACAAATCTCTGAAAAAAAAAACAAACTGTGACGAGGAGTGATGTGATGAACTTAACTGCTTGTCATGAAAGACAAACACCATATGCATGATAAACTGAAAAGTATTCTCATGACAGCTGTACAACATAGACTGTGCTCAAATCCAAATTATGCTTTATCTTCACATTGATATCACATCTGAGAAAGCAAAAAATGGCTTTGTGGATAAGAAATATGAGGAAGTTATTTATCTTATGAAATAACATATCTCACTTTTTATAAAATGGTTGTGTAACTGTGACATGTCACTGACTAACCAAGCAGGGAAAACATCATTGAATATAGGAATATTCAAATTAGTTTTCACAAGTGGGGACAAGATATTTTTTCTTCTCTCCAAGAAGCTGCTTAAGACAGTGATGCAATCATTTCAAAATGCACAACACATCATTTCACCCATCACTGAAGTGCTGTGGCTCTGAACGAAGTGTTGTGAAGCAGATTAATATAAAATGCCAAATCCAAAAGCAATGTGGCTTAAATAATACAGAAACTCGATAAGAGGAGGCAGATTAAGTTACAGAATGTACAGTAAACAGAAGGTACATAGAAGCATACAATAAAGTATAGTCAAATCGTCATCCCCCATTTCCCTGCATTATCACCTTCTCTTTCTATCTGCTTTTCTTGCTACAAGCTTGTCCTTTGTAAAATGCTTTCCTCCAACTTTTCTGAATATAGTCTGAGAATATGCAATCTGAGATTATCCAATTTCACAGTCAACTTCAATAAAATTCTTTGCCTCCCAAAGGGATGTAACAGTATTCCTACAGAAAAAAAAGAATCTCAATTAAAAAACTTTACCATTGCCAAGAAGCCACTGGCACAGTATGTCCATGCAATTTGAGAAAGACTCATTGACAAAGAAAAAAAAAAAAGAAAAACCATCTTACAGAATTATACTAGAGAGTCTATTTTATCTATTCTATCAGAAAGCTAGGAAATAGGTTGAATGCTGAGACTGCTCCTTTTGAAACAATATCATAACCGTTTTGAAAGAGCTATTCAAATACTTCACAGAGAATAATGACACTAATGCTACTTGAACTAAAATGACCTAAGAATTTTTCCATTTTTCAAAAAAAACTTGGCAAACTCAGAAAAATTTCTCTAAGTAAGCTAGCATTTTGTCTCTCTCTAGGAGACCAGAGATGCTTCAGAGAGCCTAGGAGACCAGCTGAACAAATCAATTTTGCAGATATCCAGAAGTAATCATTTCAACACTGACTGATCTGTCAGTGATTCTCCAAGCCTTCAGGAAGATACTGAAATCAAATTCTTCACAAGAGCTTCGGGGGCACACATAAGAATCAGCTCTCATAATGTGAAGCATATTTGTTCATCAAATTACAATAGTCTGATTGTTACTGAATTATTTTCCTTGCCTTAAAATTTTCAGAATATTTCAATTTAGGAAATTTTTCTACTGTAGTCACATGATCAATTGTTTTCAAGGTAAATAGTGAAATTTCATTATTACAAAATATCTGAAACTCACTTTTCTCTCACTCACCCAGTGTATACGCAGCACTTACAAAGCATTTCATAAATCTTTGTTATTTCAAATTATTCAAACTATTCAGCTTGCTCAAATTCCTGGTTTAAAATGTTATTTATTTAAAAAATTGTACTACTCTTACTATTGCAGCAGCATCACCTACAGTGTACAAAGTGAAAAACCAAAATAATTTAGAAGGAAAACCTATATTCCAAAATAACTATATGCAAAGTTTCATATGTCCTAGAAAATGAGCTGCAATGAATCACTAAAGAAATTCACCCAAAGTCCAAAATAACCAGTGACACAAGAATTTGTTGTACCTAAGTAGCTCCCAACACTGTTTCCATCACATGACAAGGCAAACTGACTTTCAGAAGAACAATTAACACAGCATACCCAGTCACTGTAGCAATTAGAGAAATTAAATAAAAGTCTCCGTAGCAACAAGAAAAATTAAACTCGTTTAAAAATAACAAGTTAGTCTAAGTGAGCATCTCTTTAGATCTTGTTATAAAAGTTCCTTATCTATTATTTAAAAAGGTATGTGCATGACAAATACCTGATTCATCCATATGTCACTGCAAATTCTAAAACTGTGGGGGAAGTGAGTCAAAGAAATACGAATACACAATTCCTATACCCTGAAACGTGAATATTAAATGATGAAGTATTTGCATTGTCTCAATTGCCCTACATCACACGAATGTCAAACCCACTTATGCATATCTGTCCCTCCCTCAAAGTGAGTAGTTTGGTTTGATGTGTCATCAAAAGCAGAATTAGTAACATTCTAAATATTTTTTTCTTTTTAATAAAGCTTTATATTTATCATTTTCAGATAGTAGTTCTGCTATGCAATAAAAAGCTTGTAGAATCTCAGCTGTGGTACTTCATGACTGACACTAGGCACGGTCTGGGCATGCAGTAAACAAACACATCTGTGATAAGGCACAGATTGCTAATCTTATTTAACATTTGGGATAGGTTTATTGTTTACTATACATGTAATGTAAATCAATCCCAAAATCTTAGGCATCATAGGTTACTCCAGAGCTTATTTAGAATTGTAAGAAGAAAGTCACACTATTACAGCTGCATTTGCCTTCAAAAACCTTTCTTACGCTAAACTACATTTATACAAGGAGAGACCTAAAATTCTTTCAGCATCGCTGCAGCACAAAGTCAAGCTGGAGGCAAGTCACTGTTGGGCCAACGTTGTTTAAGATAGATGACCTGGATGCTGGGACAGAGTGCACCCTCAGCAAGTTCACAGACAATACAAAACTGCAGAGCAGCTGATACACTGGACGGTTGTGCTGCCATTCAAAGGGACCTGGACAGGCTGGAGAATTGCACTCAAACAAATCCCTTGAAGTTCAACAAGGGGAAATGCAGGGTCCTGCATCTGGGGAGGAATAGCCCTAGGCACCCATACATGTCAGGGGCTGGAAAGCAGCTCTGCGAAGGATCTGGGAGTCCTGGTGAACAACAAGCTGATCACGAGCCAGCAATTCACCCTTCGTGGCAAATAAAGACAACAGCATTGCCCAGAGGGGTTGTGGAGTCTCCATCTGTGGAGATACTCAAAATCTGACTGGAAATGGTCCTGAGCAACCTGTTTCAGCTGACCTCCCAGAGAGCTAGAGGGAACCAGTTGCACCACTTCAGAAATTGGTACAGATGATACTGTTTGGCAACAACTGTTGCTTATGATACCGTGGTTGATAAAGTGGTCAGCCATGAAAACCTGACAACAGTACAATGAAAAACATCAGCCCGAGGAAAACAAAATCATGCATAAACCATCAGATAGAAGAACGACAGATTAGATGGAAATGTCATTGAAGAGGATGGATAATCCATTCTTTACTGCTTACATACGTGATGGTACATACGGAAGGGTATCTGTGTCAGCACCAGCTGACACATTCTCTATAACTGAAAGCAATAAAGAAAGACACAAATATTCCAACTCAATTGAACTGACACTAGGACCACTCAGCACAATTTCTACTGACTAAAGGAAGAACCTGCTGGGAGGAGAGGGGTTCCCATACTAATCTCAGTGTGGAACTATATAAAACATCTACCAGAGGAAATACTGTGGAGTAATGTTAAAATAAAATAGTCTCCAAAACAAATCCTCACTGGCTCCAGATCTGAGAGCTAGAATCCAAAAAGTCTACCTTGTGCATTTTTGAAAAAAGCCTATGTTTTACACATGAAACAAAGCAGCCATTTCCACTCCTAGAATGAGCATTTCATTATTGTGGGACAGCAACACCAGTCTGTTCACAATGAACATTGACACAGTGTTTCTGTTCCCCTCCTCACCCCCTCATATTTAAAAGCCGTATCAGATTTGAGGTTTGGAAAATACTGCTTGCAGACAGTGCTAGGTACTTTAACAACATTAAGATTGTCATACATGCAATACGAGGAAAAAAACCAGGATCCTGATATTGTAATTTGTTCCAGATTGGGCAGACAGCTATACCCAATTATCAAGTAAAATAAAAATGCATTTACAAAAAAAAAAAAGGGGGGGGGGGGGGGGGCTAGAACTGGACAAAACAGATATAAAAAGAGAGAAGAGT